GTGTGCGTGTCGGTGTGGGTGTGTGTGTAGGTGGGTGTGGGTTACCAGGAACCCCCACACCCTCCCACACCCACACCCACCCACACCCTCCCACACCCACACCCTCCTACACCCACACCCACACCCACACCCACACCCATACCCTCCCACACCCACAGCCTCCTACACCCACACCCACACCCACACCCTTCGATCGATATAAGACAGTTGACAAAAGTCTTACTATTTAATAGAAATAAATAGCATATTTGACGATCGTTTTATTTGATATATATCCGATTTATTCAGTTGATCTATATCTATATTAGAAGAGTAGTTCGACAATAAGATTATCAAACATAGAAATAAATTACCTTTTATTTTCTATAATTACTGTTTTTTCTTGAGAAAGTCAACTAGAAACAATAACTAAACTAATAAGAGAAAATTTTTCGGAACAAATATCAAACAAAGGTAAAGATATTGACAAAGAACCTAAATTTAAGATCTTCTTTTCTCTCACAGTGTGCTGCATATAACCGTAATCTAAGAATATATTTCTAAAATATAGTCCAATTGAATTCTATAGAAAATTTAGTTGATATGACTTTTGAACATAGATGTCGAAATAAATTCTATTAAATTCTTCATTAGGAATTTATATTCGTATTCGACATCGAAATACTTTCTCAATTCGATAGACAATGATTTCTTATCCTATCATTCTATATTAACATCAATTTTAACTAATCATACATTAACATTAAGAAATTTATCTAAACAACAAAAATGGAAATATTTTTTTTTTGAAATTATTCATTTCATAGAATTGAATATCTTTTGTTTTTACCAGGTTTTCATTTATTTAAAATATTATACGATGAAAACTAAATGTGTTAGATTTTCTATCAATCAGATAATTCAACTATGAATATTTTCTTCGATCATATTCACTTTTTGAAAAACAAAATTCAGAGTTTATTCGATCGTTTATTTTATCGTCATGTTAATGATGCTTTTTATTTTTATTTGAAGAAACTGATGAAAATTATTTAAATCAATTATGGGTTGTGGATGTGGGTGATATTGAAGAGAAGATTGATACTCACATCCACACCTAACTTTAAGAGCCTTTGCTCAGCAAAGGAGATCTTTGTCAACTAACACTAATACAATGTAATACTTACTAAAGTTCACTTGTCAAAAAGGAAGAAACAATATTCTAATGTTTATCTGAATCTTTATATTTTTGAAATATAAATGTAATAAAATTGACATTTTATATCCAAGAAAATTTAAATTCTTCTGTAAGAAAAATAAAAATTTCAAATGCTCTTTGGAGAAATTAAAACTCTTCGGCAACATATCTACATCTTTTCTAATTTTAGTCTAAAATCAAAATTTTTTTTTCACAAGATGTGCGACCCACTAAATTTTGCTTCTAGTGTGTACATCTGCTGTTGGGAATTCTGATTGTAGAGTAGGGTTATTTCATGCTAGATGTCACCCATTGTAGTGCAGTCAGCATTGATTGGATAACTCACGCATATTCATTGGATTGATCATCCAATGTTTTGTAGTATATCAATTAGAATTCATATTTGAATTGAATATATTTATGTTTCCAACTAAAAATTGATAATTATAATCGATGCATAAAAAATTTCGTTGTGGTCTTTTGATGCGAACCAAAAATGGTAAAGTAAAAAAGCTTGATCTTGAAAAGGGTGGTGGTTCTCGTCTATGTGATTGGTATAACAAAGATATGACTTTAAATGATACTTGTCTTCTTCTTCTCAACATTTTCAAATTAGGTAATTTAATAAAAAAATAAATATTAATAATATAATAACTTTTTTTTTTGCCTTATGGATCAAAATCAGATATTGAACTTGAAACAGCATTATACGATTTTCAAATGCAGCCATTAGATGTTAATCAATATGAAACATTTTTTGAGTACATTAATAGGAATGGATTAAATTGTACAAGTACAATTATATATGTTTGCATTCATGAAGGTTTTCGTTTCTTCGCATTTTATTTGATTGTGTCTATTTTTCTTTTTCTTTTTAAGGAAGTAAAAATGATGTGACAAGAAATAATATTATGAAAAATGAAAATAAACTTACAATGACAACTTCGTCAATAGCAGAGGAACAGTAATTCAAATCTTTGAATGATGTTTTTGTTTTTATTTAAAGCTAGTTTATATTATATTAGAACATTTGTACAAACATCAATTGAATATAAACATGTTGATAAAAAGGAACAAGATATTGATTTACATCAAGCTAATAAGTAAAAGATTTATTTTTTTTTGAAATAAAAATTTAAAATAATATATTTTCTAGTTCGTTATATGGTAATACTGCATGGATAAATGATGTTTGTCTTTTATCATCTAGCTTTATATTTTTTAGAATATTCATTTATAAATTCGATTGATTCTATCATGAAAAATATTGATGAGTTGATGAGTCAAAATAGTTATGATGAAATTTTGATTAAATTATTTGAGAACATGTGTATAATTCATGGCTATTCACATTTAACAATTAATGCAGTAAAACAACTTATTCAATGGGCAAAAAAAGATATTCAATCAATTAAACAATTTGATATTATATTGCATGCGAATTGTTTAAATAATATTTATATTAGTTGTCATTTAATAATAAAGCTGCTGAAAAAACAAAAGAATAAATTTAATCATATTCCAAATTATTCAATAACTCGTCAATCAATTATTGAATTTTATCATAACTTAAAGGTATTTAAATGTTGACAAAAAAAATGATATAATAGAGTATATTTCATTGAACTGTCATCAGTAGATTCTTAATACTTAGGGATGATCATATAGTGTTGCATTAAAAAATGAAGGGTTATTGTTGTTCGAAGGAAATAGAGCTAAAAATGTTCAAAGAGAATTAATGGAACTCGTTTTGAAGAATAGTTTTATAAATTGAACGGATGTATTTTGACAGAAAATAAAGTCTTAAGCACACAAAATAAATTGCAAGTTTTTCATTAATAGTTAGTAGAATTTAGCTAGAAAAATAAAAACTGAATTAAAAAAAAAATATCATATTTTTATTAAGTGCCCCCCCCCCCCCCCCCCCCCCCCCCCCCCGCCCTCAAAATTCGATCTCAGCTCAGGAACATCGAGATGCCATGAAACTTTGAGGATATGTTGGAGGTATAAAAGTACGTCTATGATAAAATTTTCAGCCTCCTGTCCTGATGTATAAGGTACCTACGAACCAAACAAGGGTTGAAAAATAGCTTATCGCAGACGTACGAAATCTCGATGGGTGTTCATTCAATATGGTTTATTGTTTTTTCATTTGAAAGATCATGTCAGAATGCAGTGCCTCTGAGGGCCCTTTTTTTAAATTCTTATCTTTAGTAAGAAAAAAAGGCTGCATACATTCAATCACTCAAAAAAATCATGCTTGTATTATAAAGTCGCGTTTCAATATGATAATAAAAAAGCTTTATCAAAAAAAGGCCCTCAGAGGCACTGCATCCTGACATGCTCTTTCAAACAAAAAAAAAAAGATTTGACTTTATATCGAATTATAACTGACTTTTGGTGCGTATGCGTAATTCAACCATCATTTTGAGAAAAACGTGAAACAATTTTTTATGTGAAATTTCCTAGAAACATTGTTTATTATGTGAATATCTGTGCTTAGCCAAAGGAT